GTTGAGGCAGGATTTGGGCTTCGATATGGAGGCAGGATTTGGTCTTCGATCTGCATCCATACGTCTGACTGCAGCACGCTGGATTCGGGGCAAGGCTTTTTTTCTTGTCAGCTTGAGCCATGTTAGACACGACAGTAGGTAAGAGCTTGGGATTAGTTCTGTGGTAAGAACAAGCTGCCAAGTCTTAAGTTTTAATGCATAAGGAGCCTAAACTTTTCTGTTCTAGTTGAAGTTTCTCTGGCTGTGCAGCAGACTTCACAGAACTGGATAAAACGCTCGATGGAAAGACTCCAGTGCACAAGCCCTTGGGTGTGAGGAGGTCTTAAGACGAGCCAGCCACAGTGCTTCCCTTAGGAGTGCGGAAGTTTTAAGTGTCTCCTTTCCTGCAGTTGACGAGAAGCGTATCAAGAGTTCAGGCTGGATATTTATCTGCCTTGGTTGTAAAAGATCTGTCGGTGCTGCGTTTGGAGCTGAAGTGGGCTGTCAAGGCAGCTCGGTAAGTGTGGTGTAAGGAGGATGCCGGAAAACTTCCCTTTCTTCTGGAAACATCATCTTGCCAGCCTAGGACAGAACAGCCTACAGGATCCGCATCGTTAAAAACCCTCCCTGTCAGCAGATGACGAGCTAAAATTACAGCTTTGGAGGAAAGCATGTGCTGATGCTTACGAGGAAGTTGTGACGGCGTGGCGTGCGGGCTGCTTCTGGCTCGGAGGTGGGGCTTCTAGCCAGGCTTCCGGACTCATCCCGCTCCGTGAGCCAACGGCTTCCAACACGCTTCCTGATTTAGTGCTGGGTTGAGCTGCATCTGGCACTGCTGTAGCTGTACCTGCCTGTAGAAATAGAAGGGTGTAATCTGCTAGAAACGTTGGATGTGGGAGTGAAGGGAGCAAGACGTCCTTGGAATCGCAGGAGTTGTTTTTTTAGAAATCGGTTCTTCTTGGAAGGCTGGAAATTTATTGTTGCATGTAGTGGGGATGATGGAATGTGTTTCCCCATTTCATGACCTTTTTATGCCCAAGGAAAATGGGATCTTCAGTGTGGCGTTTCTGGGGGTTTCTCTGTCCCCTTTCACTTCGGCATTAATGCGGTATTTTGGAACCGAAGAGGAGGTCAGAGGCTGCACAGGGAGAGGCAGATGCTGCCCACGAGCTCAGGACATCTCAGCATCTTGGGAGAAATGGCTCACAGACAAACCTAATACTGTTAGGGAATGTAGGTGAAAGTAAAATGTCATACTGATGAAGACGTGTGTTATTGTGGGTATTGCTGGCCACCAGACGTGTGAAGTTGCTGCTCTTCGCCGAGCGCTCAGCTGGGGAAATAGAGCTGGAACAAGACTCTTCAAAATCTGTCACGTGTAAGAGATTGATGTAACAGGGGAAAAAAAGTTACAGTTTATTTGTTTTGGGTTTTTTTTAAGATGCCTTCCGCTCAGTGTTGGGAATGACAATGTAGGATAGCAGGAATAAGATGCTGCTGTGTGTTTAGGGAAGAAGCAGGATTACCTTGGAAGGTAACCATCTGAAGGGGTAGTTAACTAATGGTGCTAGCACATAAATAAATGAGGGTGGGTTTAGGTTAAATAATAGGAGAGCTTCTGAACTAATAAGGTAGTTGAAGTAATGTTGGCAGCAACATGTACAACTGGACTTCCCAAGAGCAAAGGTGTCCTATAAGGATTCCGGCTTAGAGAAGCTGTGTTAGGTTGTTGGGTCCCCGAGCTTCTGTTTGTATCCGGGAGCGTATGACTCTGCGTGCAGTGAACTGGCTCCACATATGGTGAACTGCATAAATGCATAGAAGTCTGATAATTTATTGCCAAAATTGCAAGTATTTCCATAGCACGCGACAACTAGCAGCCTGCATTTATCCTAATTACTTTTCCTCTTGGATGCCTGCCTGCCCTTTGTGTGAGACCGTTTCCTGCTGGCTTAGGATGGCTGTGCTGAATCTGAGAAGTAGTCATCGGAAAAGGGGTGGAGGCAAATAGGGAATGGCATATTTAGAATGGGTGATGAGACCGAATCATGGTGTATTCTGTTGTTAGTTTTTGTCAGCTTATGGGAAGAAACCTTCTGTTTCTGGGAAGGGGGTAGCAGGGATTAAGTGATACCTAGTGATTTTCCAGCATGTTGTGCATTCTCTGCTTCCTTCGCCGTAGAAGAGCTCTGCTGGGTATTCAACAGATCTGCAGTGGCTTGGCTTGTTATCTGGCCAGCTCGTGATCTGGAGTGGATACGGTGTGAATTCCTGCCCTGAGTTTTCTCAAATTAAACCTTTATTGAGGGCGTTCCTTCACCATGCTTTCCTTGTGCCTTGTTCTCAAACCTCCATCCTTTCTGTTGGTTTACCCTTCTCATTAAAATCCAGTTTCTTGGCTTAGTTATTTCATAACCTTTTTCCAGTTACTGCTGGGAGTGTTTCTCTGGTATCTTTTCCTCCCAAACAACAGGTTTGCCTGCTGAAGCTGCAAGGGGGGTGCTGCCCCTCGTGATCTGAGTGCTCCTGGTAAGTGCCTGCTCTGTCTGGTTAGAGCTTCCCTCATGGCTCTCGGGGAGCTCCGCGCACCCAGCAGTGCTGTCTGTAACGGTCTTGCGGGTCTTGCCTCTGGCACCTGCACCAGACCAGTTGCAGCAATTCAGTTTTTCAGCCTTCACAGCATGAAAATGACGGTATTGCGAAAGAGGCACTGACCTAAGGGTTTGAAACATGGTGAAAGGAGGACTCAGGTTTTGGGAATTGGGGATTCTACGTGTGCTGTGGGGTGGGTGTGGGAGGAATTTCATATTCTCCTTTCTCATTTACGATGAATGAACGACCTGAGCTTTGGGGTGGTGGTAAGTCTGTGGAAACCTTTGTCATCCTTTTCATCAAAGTATTACGGGTTGGTTTCTCCCGTTGCCTAGTTATGACGGAGCGAGAGCAAAATCTTGGGAGCAAGTTCGTAAGTGCTGTGCTTGTGTTCAGCATGTGCTGGTCGTCTTCTGCTTATGCTGGCGCGCGTGGGAAGATGGCAATACCCGTCTCTCTTGCTCTTCGACTGTTGTGAAGATTACCTTGCGTCAGCCCTGTCCGTGCAGCCATACACCTAAGCAATCACCAGGTGTTCTAAGTTGTGTTTTAACCCCTGTGTTGGCATAGTGGCTGTAAAGTAGGTATGTTCCTGAAGAGGAAAAACTGGGAACTCTGAAGTGGTCAGTTAAAAGATTTGGGGTTTTCTGTGGGGTTTTTTCATTTGCTTTTTCTTCAGAGTTGGTTTGAACGTGGCCTGGCAACAGATGCAGGTGGCTGGAGGGGTCGGAGGTGAAAGGAACTCCCTGGAATGCAGAAGCTGCTCACTCCCACCGGGAGGCAATTTAATTGAAGATTTGGCTCTGGTAGCCTTGCTTAGGGTGAAATGCAAATGGCTGAGTTCATGAGAAGTGTCCTGTAGCAGAATATAGGGGAGCTGTGTGCTTCCTCTTTCTGGCTCGTAGTTGCGTTTCGTAGCTGACAGTGTTAGGATTGTTCCGGTGTCCGTGTGAGTGTACGTGGCCCGTCCAGCTGAATCTTCCCACGATCCCTGTTAGTCCAGCCAAGTGGTTCTTCAGGAGGGTTAGAAAACAGGATTACTCTGGAGACCTCTGGGAGGGGCAGGATGCTGCTGCTCCTTTGTAGCAAGGGAGGGATCAGAGCAGGATTGGGACCATATAAATCTCTAACCAGCCTGACTTGTGGGATCTGTTCAATACCCAGAGATGCACTGGGCAAGATGTTCCTACCTGCCCAAAAGAATTTCGGGAAATCATTATTTCTCTCCAGTTTCAGTATGTTTTGTTCTTCCAGTGCTCTTGTTCAGGTGTCAACTGAGACTTCATGAACGGTTAGGCAGATCTGACACGCTTGGCAAAGGACATGTTCTTGATGCCCTGTCGTTAGGGGTTTTGGAAGGAAGACTTTCTGTTGTGGTCTTTGGTGCACATTGTCTCTGCACTCGAGCTGTTGGCTTTCAGGACTGTAGAAATGAGTTACCTTCTTCGTTAATTCTCTGTTTGTGGCTGTAGTGTGGTGTGGTGGGGAAAAGGAGGTGCAGAATTAAATTTCTCGGAGTGCTTCTATGTGGCGGTGTAGCTACACTGCCATTGTCCCAAAGACAAACTGCAGTCCTTGCATGTTCAAACATGCAGTTCAAATATTTAGTGAGCTGGGGAGGACCCTTATGTGCCACTAACAAAAATTTCTGTTCAGTCCTGAAGAGTGATGGTGAAAAATTGGCCAAGTCTTTCATGTAAAGACATGAGAACTGGATAATACTTGCAGTGAAAATTCTGTTGCCTGGGTTTCACATCTTTCAACCTTCTTTCATTGGAATTCAGAGCTCAGTTTTCCTTTTCTGGCAGAAATTGGTTTTCAGCTCTTAAACTAGAAAGTTCGCAAATACTGGCTCATTTAACACTTTTCTGCAAATATTTAATTTCACACGACATGTTTCTGACCATATTAGAGGTTAATGTGCCATCCAAGCTCACTGCCATTGTTTCGAAATTCAAATGTTTAAACTTTTTTCCAAGTCAGTCCATGTGTTTCAAACAGAATTGTAGATAACGTAATGATTCAGCTGAAAGTTGTAAAAGTTGTCATCCTTATTTCTTGTCTCACTGGTGGGCTGAAAGGCCTTTGTGCTGTGAAACCAAGGGAAAATGACATAAAAACTTTGTGGGAAATAGGGGAGTTGTGTCAGTCTTCAGCTAAAGTGTTGGTGTATTTTTGAGCAACGGTATTTTGAAACCTAAGTTTCTGAACAATACCAGATGCTGGAAAAGTTATTTTATGTTGGTAGCTAAAATAATATTCTGAATCAGGTAGGCCTGCAGCAAGTACACTTTACTAAATAACAGCAGCTTGGTTCTGAGAAATCAACAGTAACTATTTAACACATGGTACCTGATTTGAAAAGACAGGGTCTGAACAGGCTGTCCCTGCATTCTTATTACACTTTTGCAGGTATGGTGACATTTCATGTCTCATGAAGGTGGATGTTCTTTTACCCATGCAAAAACATGGGGTTTTACGTTAAATAAATAGTATCTTTAATTACCATGAGCTGCTGTGTTTGATATGTGGCTGCCCACGTTCTGGGGAAGGATATACTTTCAGTCTCTTCTTGCCTGTGATTTAATTTGCTGGGAGAGGGAAGGGAGTCTGAGCATTCCCAATGGCTTAACAGTAGTCTGAGCAGCGGAGAAGCATTTAATTGTTCAAAACAAGTCAAAGCACCTGTGACTTTTGCGTTTCGTTTTTTGCGAAATACCCTTTTTCAACATGAAAATATGGGAGCGGGGAAAGTATTTAATGTTACTCCTGTGCTTATGTGTGACTTACAAGTTCTCTAATTATTTCCTTTCCCTTTTGCAGTGGCAGTCGCTCTTCCAAAACCTTCAAACCAAAGAAAAATATTCCGGAGGGGTCTCACCAGTACGAGCTGCTAAAACATGCCGAAGCCACGCTGGGAAGTGGTAATCTTCGGATGGCCGTCATGCTTCCAGAGGGTGAAGACTTAAACGAGTGGGTTGCAGTTAACAGTAAGTCAACTATCCCTTATTTCTTAAGGGGTGTGTGTGGAATGTGGGCTGACACTTGTGGGAGGACAAAGGTGTACTCCTCTCTTGGGGGGTAGGCTCTCTGTCCTGCATGTACCACTGCTGCAGCTGGGAGAGGGGGGTGTCGTGTCATGCAGAGCTGGCAGGTGCAGAGCATCTCACCTAAACTAACTCCTTAATCTTCTTGTGCCAGAAGTATGTTCCTGTTAACAAAATAATTCGTAGTGTTAAAGGCTGAGCACTTGATCACCAACAAGTGCTGAAGTAGAAATGTCACTGCGGTTTTGAGAAAAGTGTCCTGTCAGTGCCATCTTAATCTAGCTCTTCTTCAGCTGGGGTTGTTACCCAGTGATATAGTCAAGCCTCTACACGCTAAGCACAAAACCTTAATTTCTTTAAGTGTGAGCACCTAAAAGGTGCTAAAGACTACAGTCATGTGTATGGCCTGGCTTTCCTTTTGCCTGCTCAGAGGTCGATCTCTGCAATTTTCCTGGAGTTAGTTCCTTCCTCTTGTTTCTACCAAGCTGTGAGCCTTTGCTCCGGTAAGTGTCTGATGTCATTATTTTAACTTCCTCTATAGCTTCCTAACTTTCATGGTAGGTCAGGCCAAACGATGACACCCAAATTAGTGTTTTCTGATTGCTTGACCACATTTCTCCCTCCTTCCTCTTCCCGCTGAATAAATTTGCTGCCTGCCTTCTGCTCTTAAAGAATGGATTAACCCAAGTCCTGTTGTGCTCTGTAGCCCGTGCAGAGTTTTGGCTGCCACAGACTTGGTACCCTGTCTGGGTATTTCCCCATCTTTTGTGTCTTCAGCTTGGCGTGCTTCCATGATTGTTCAGTGTTGATTGTGCGCTGCAGTGCAGTATGAATGATGCTGAAGATAAATGGCTTCTAATTGTTTATATGGTTCTGTGTATTTCTTCTTGCTCTTTGACATGTTTGGGTAGTGAAACTGTCATACTGACTTCAACTTTCTGGTTCTTAATTAGCCCCACAGTGCCTTGGGTGTATGACTGCTTCCCGGGCATGTTGAAATTGCTGACACCATTCTTTAGAAAAGTTTATTCATGCCGTGTTGCAAAACTGTCTAGAAAAAAAACCAGCCCATTTTTATGAGTAAGCATTACTAAAGATGCTTTATATATTGCTGGCATCCTTCCCTTTTGGTGGTTCTCCACTCCATGTCTCTTCTTTCCTGTGTGGCTGCGGTGTTTTTTCCTTCCCAAATGACTTAACTGCTAAATTAGCTGGGTGGCAAAAGGCAGCGAAGACCTTACCAAAAGCCAGCTACCACTCTTTTGTTCACAGCTGTGTTCTGTAATGAAATGATCCTCTTTCATGCTTCCTGCAGCAGAATGGGTTTATCATGTGTTAATTTTTTGCCTAGAAGTGATTAACTGATTGCCTGTTCCCTTTCCTCTACCACACCTAGTACCAGTAAATGGGACCTGTGAGCCCTTTCTGCTGACTGAGATAAGTAATAAGGGAAGAAAATGTGTGACTTAAGGTCACTGCTTTTGCCCTTCACATCAGTGAGAGCACAGGCACAAATGCGCTCTGCTGGTTTACTACTTGCTCAGCTCAGCCTTACACACCTGTACTGGGTTCAGTCAGGAAA